TTTCTGCAAATAATAAATTAAAAAAGCGTGAACAAAAAAATAAATCCATAAAAGAAAATCAAGAAAATGCAATAGCATCAGAGGATCTTGTGGATTTTATTTTTAATGCCCTTCCGGCAAATTATGATTATGTTGAGTATCTATTTGAAGAAAGATTTCTTATAATCTTAGAGCCACTATTAAACAATGTTGATACAAATTCAGACGATCAAGTAAATAAGGAAGTTGCATAATATATAGTTAACCTTATTTCAAAAGTAGATAGATTTTCCTGGATTTACCATAAATGTAGTAAATTAAAAGACTTAGTTTCATTTGTTTATTATTGCAACTGCTGTGAAGAATTAAAAAATAAAAAGGCACGAGTTGCTAATATTTCAAGTCAACATGATACAATGTCAAGAATTGTTCGATATAATTGTGGTAGTACGATTCAAATTAATATAGATCAAATTCACAGTTTGGTGGTAATTAGTATTTATCATTATCTTTATCCACCACCTGAAGCAATGGAAGTTTCCTCACAAATTCATGATTTTATTATTAATCATAACCTATTGACAGTACCACAGCTTTACAATAATATTAAAGATGAAAAAATCGATAGATTTTTACATATTACTCGATAACAAGTTTACTATTGGGCTAAAAAATTTGCTACCAAGGAATATAAATTAGCAGATAATCAATTGGAATCAGCTTGATGATATTTAGAGAATAATTTAAATTTTAAACTTCTTTATCAAGATCAACATTCATTGGCTTTTCTAACTCTATTGCTATTTATATTACCAAGTAAAGCAACAAAACCTATTATTATTGATTCTACTTATAGGACAAATCACTTAAAGTTTGAATTATTTGCAGTTCTTGGAGTTATAGATAGTACTGGGTTCTCGCTTTCTTATTTTTTTCTTGAACCAAAGTATCCATATAGTAAAACACAAGCAATTACAACATGGTTTAAAAGTTTAAAAGAAAATGGAATTCAAAATACTGAAACTATTTTGACA